GGCAGCAGTATGTCAACAGTGGCTCCTCAGTCGTTGCAGGACTATTAATGATGCCTATAAAATTATTCAGACGTCCTGAAACGCTCCAACAACAAAGGATTTAAGCTGGATGTGTCAAAACTTCACAATAACTTCGAAGGTAAGTTAATAAATCGTTTGTATTCACCATAATGCCTCATATGTCTGACGTAGCTAACAGGGACAAGCTTATAAAGGTGCTATGTAAACGTTAAGTGTTTTGATTATCTATGCATTGTGCAATCTATCTATGCTATATAGATAGATATACATCTATATAAACATATATAGATCTGTCTATATTGTGCCCCAGCTATCAGTCGAAGCTGAAGTTAGCTTCCCAATGTAGCATCTAATTCGGAAAATAGCTAAAGGGCGATTACACTTAATTTTTCACTATCTTGAGCTTTTTTAATGTGTTGTACTTTAAAAACTACACCTAGACATTTCAAACCTAACTAGATTATTCTGTACTAACAGCAGAATAAATAAAACATTTGTGAAACCTTCTAATTGATTTGTGAAATTTGTAAAATGTCAATAATAGATTCCAGAACGCCTTAGATCTGAATTATTAAAGTGGCATTATTTGTTATTTTAACTTTCCATTTTCTTTCCTTTTTTATCTTTATTATAGTTGGAGTTGGACAGGAGTTCTGTTGGATGGCTTCCTGGAGGGATGAATAGGCCAAGCTAATGTTGCCATCAACTTTTCTCCTGCTATTAACTTTTTTTTTTTTTTTACTTTTCTTTATATAGAAAGTATTTCTATCAGTTAGTCTTTTTCCGTTTTGTATACATTATTTGCTCTATTTTTTATTTTTATTTTTACCTTAATAAAAAGGTGAGGTGGAAATGTACATCCTCTTGATTACTGACAAATGTCAGAACCACATGGACTGAGCTGGTTACGTCAGATCAATCGGAATCTTTATTTCTCATTAAAATATCTTGTAATTTTAAGACATTGTTATAAAATTGCATCTTTATTCTGCTGTAACGATGACTGCAATCTTGCAATTAAAATTTCTTGTATCCTGACCATAATGCTCCCTTATACAACTCACAGAACAGATGGTTGAAATAAAGGCACTTTTTGAAAGTATTTTCTGTGATTTTATTATAGAAATTGAGGATGGGAGGAATCGATTAAAATCAAATCTGGTATGAAAAAAATCTTGTAAATCATATCATCCAGCCTTACTCAGTATATTAAATTATATGACTAACTACATATTACTTAATATTCACATTTCTTTGCTGGTATTACCTAAAAGTGTTGCATTTTAACATCTCACTTGAATTCCTGATCTACATGCAAATACTTGATAAAATGTAAACACAGAGAAAAGGGAAAAAAAGGTTTGTGAAATGTAGAGTATTACAAATGAGATTCAATTTTATTGTAGGTAAAAACAGGATAGCAAAATGAACAGTGAATATATAATATACTTCCTAGCAGCTAATCAGACATCAGACTTGTTTGCCTTTACTGGTAATGAAAACTCATCACTCTGGAGGAGAGGAAGACCGGCTCAGCCCCGTCCAGGATGACTGCAGTGTCAGGGAAGCAAACAAAGTCTGCAGGAAGATTTTTGCATATCTGGTGCTCCGGTTTCCAGATCATAGTTTAACCAAGTAAATAAAAAGTTGGTCCACGTTGTGATGATCCGGCAGACCGTGGACTGATGGACGCCGTCAGCTGGTCCAGGTGCTTGGATCCAATGGAAAGGTAATCGGCACTGTGATCATGGCTCAGAAACACGAGGTGTTGCGATGCAAACCTGAAAAATTAAAAACAAACAAAAAACTAATAAGTGTCCATATTTAGCTGAACAACGTAATCAAAGCTAATAAACCCTCGGCTCTTTTTG